ACTCCTCAGTCAAACGGACGTTTCCCCTGATCATTCACAAATTAATTTTGGATTCATTAATGATTGAGTAGTCGACGCATCTGCGTACACTACGGATGCAGCACTTTTTGCGTAGTGGGCCTACTCATTGGACACCAAGCAACTTAAGGCGAAATTTGTTGAAGTAAGTTCACATTTGCCAGACGTGTTCGATTAGACAAAAGGGACTTCATTTAGGGAAGTCAAATGTCTCCATATGACTACAAGAACAGCAATCATTTGATATTACTATAAGCAGGTAGATGCGACCTGTGGTTAATTTCACCCAAATAACATGCGTCGATTTGTCTGACAGTTAATGTTGATCATTGTATTCGCTTGGGTTGTTTGCAATGGTTATGGCTGTGTAGTGGACTACCAGCCATCTCGCGTTGTACCAATAACTCACCTCTCTAGCATTGATTACTGGTAGCAGTTGCCTCTTACTCTCGCGTGCTCACCATCACATGAACACAATTTGCTGGCGCGGGGTGGTAATAAACCGTCAAACATGTTATCGCCCGACTTCTCTCTGCAAACTTTAAGGATCGTTAGCTAGTAGTTTTTTATGTATAATGCTAGCAAAGTAACTGTGTAGGGTGAACCCGAAAAACGATACCGTGACGTTTGCGAGTCCGCCAAATTGTCAATTATTTTTATTTTTTAACAATCCGCTATTCCTCTAACGGTGAATAAGTCTGTAATTCTGAACCATTTGTGTGGAAAACAGCATTTTAATAGACTTTCTCGTGAGTATAGTTGGTGCCCTCATTAAGCGATGTGTACGCTCATAGACATTATCTAGCACGGTGTCTGTGGTAAGATCATGGTCACGGAATTTGCTCACCAAATACAAATGAAAACATTAATATTATTGCAACAAATAAGAGGTCGCTTGCCTGTCAGCAGCAATCAGACTTGAAGTTAGTCAAACTGAACAAGGTAACGATTAATATCGCCTGAGGAAAACAATTTGGCATTGATATAGCATGTTCTGTTTCTGACGCGTCGAATATGATGTCACAACACTGTCGCAATGGCGTAGGTGGATTGTTTGGCAGAGTTGATTAGAACGAACGTGGGTTTCATGCAGTGACAAGGTCAAGCAAACTGTCTGCTAACAAGGTTAGTTTCGTGTCTCTTGAATACGAGATTACTAACCGTTTAGCTAAAACATGCTCCAAGTCTAAAAAGAAAACTTAAAAGACGTCAGCGTAAGTAGGGTGCTGGGTATCAAAAACGCAGCCAAACCACGTCGCCTATTTTCGGTAGCCAAATACGTTCTATTGCATTGTTAATCACACAAAAGCCAAGCCATTTTGAGTGACCGTGTTTTTCAAAAGTATGGACTAATGTTTTCGCCACCGTCGAAATATTAGAAAGAATCACATTATCTCTGTCAAAGATGAGAAATGATACTCGCTAATCACTACCTCCCAAACTGCAACGCCATATTGGAAATATGTAAATGTTAGCTGTTTTTTTGGGATTGAAACGCCTTGCCAGTTTGTTGAGAATTGTTGACGTAGTCCAAAATGGTCGTACGTTACAATTTGATTTGAACCGGTAGTCGACTGAAATGTTACTTGCAGGAAATTGTGAATGAAACAAAACACAAACTGCGGAAGTTTATTTGTTTGCTTGATTCTAAACTGCCGAACGCGGTCAGTAGTCATGAAATATGTGGGCATATACGTGGGTTAGTGAACCTTTTCTATTTCGAGTTCATTCCCAATATCTGGAGAGATGACAGGCAGAAATTAAGAAGTAACAAACAAAGAGCACTTGCCTACACAACGTTGGTGCACACTGAATAATACCGTTTCTGCAACTGAGTGAGGCTCAACACTGACCAGGAAAACAGCAAACTTCTAGCATCGATTCCAATTTATGTTGAGTTAGTGAGACACCAGTAGATACAAATTGGATGCTTTGGACGTGAATCACACTAATTCACACCCAATTGGTGAGCCCAATCAGCATCCCGCAGGCATTATTTCTGCAACTTGCGTATTCAAAAGGCTATCGGTTGCATTGAAAGAGGCCTTTATTGTGGCTGTGCCAGAAATGTGGCCATGTTTGTGAAACCGATCACTAAGTCACGGATGATGGAAAAACAGGATTTTGGTTAGCATTTTAAAGCAGGAATCATCTCAAACACCTAGTTTATACCATCTGCATATTTACTGGTATGAAAAGTAAGGTAAATAGCTTGTGAATGCAGAAGGAGATAAGGACAAATCCAGTCGTGCTATAAAATGTCCCTCTTGAACTTCGATATAAATAAATGAGAAATGCGTTAGGCGATAAGTAAAGTGTACTTACTGACAAAAGTGTCAATGCCAAGTGATCGTATTTCCGATTTAGTAGCGGATAAAACCAGCAATTCTCATCGCATGTTTGCGTGATAAAAAACCCGTTTCCTCGTTAACGCAGCAATACTTGCAGATGTAATCAGCGATTGGTGGAAGTATATCGCAAAACCTGATTTGTGTTAAGCATGTGGTAGTAAACACACTTTTGACTGCCAGGCAAACATCAAATCGAAGCCATTTAGATGGACTGAGGCACAACGAAATGCAAAGTGTTCTTCTTGGGAAATAACAGTTTTGACCTTGACACAACAATTCGGCAAATTGTCATTTAGTTATAGCAATCAACGTTGCCTATGCATTAACGCTATTAAAATCAGCAAATTCGATGATGTAACACAAATCATGAAAGGTGCTTACACAAAGAAGGCCTTGACCAAATTGTAGATTGCTATCATGTGGGTCGAGGACAGGCAGTGTGCTCGAAATTGTATATACACGTTTTGGTTCAATTATAGACCTCTATAAAAATGGACTCTACATTTCAAACTATCAGCAGTGTCTTTCAGCACTAGGCAAAGTGCTGTGATAGGGCCATTTTAATAGCCAGTATTTAAATAAATACGTGATGAATATTTCGCAAGTTTATGCTAAAATGAGCCAATCGACATGGATTGGTTTAAGTGAAAATCGTCTATTCAAAAAGTCAATAGCACACTTCACACTAAGCAACTTAATATATCACCAGCTACAATTTACGCCACAACACTTCTTGTTTTGCTTCTTTTCACATGAAAATTTTGTGATCCTGTTTCTCTCATTCCTTACACCCACATTTTCATGTCTCATTGGTCAGAATAATGAATAACATGAAATGGTTTCTCAACGTGGAAACAATTTTATGACTTTAGCACCGATTCTTGACAAATTAGATGCAAAAACGAGAACTGAGAAAGTTAACCTATCCTTAAGCTGCGCAGGACAATAGTATGTTTCAATCAGTTGCAAATCAGAATATTGCTAGTGGAATATTTAAGCTGGATGTAAAACCCATTCCCTTTACGACAAATCCACATTTCGGATTTCTACACGGATTACGATAGCTCTGTCTAGTTCTTCGTTTCGTCAACGGAATCATGCAAGCTATGCTGAAGCTTCTCTTTCTCTTTGCTCTAATATGCAGTGTGGTGGCTGACGTTCCGTCAGAAGAGGAGCGTAGAGTAATCATGGAGTGCCACACAAAGCTGCGTGAGGGGGTACAACCAACCGCCAGCAACATGCAATTGTTAGTGCGTCCAAGTATTGACCGCGTCGATGTGGCGCAGTGTCCTTTGCGGTGTTATATCTAATTCACCAACTCGCGTGAAATGTTGGCGGCTTCCTATGAAGGAATCGCATGTACACTCAAAATCATTATTCCAGTTTTTTTTACTCAACGGGGTTTGTTTTATTAGTTCAATCTACTCCCATGTTTTACTTTATGCATCCATCATCCACCAAACTAAAATTAACTCATGCAACTTATCTAGACTTTGACTTACCTGCAATGTACTCCATTTTGACATTTCACTACCACCGCATTCCCTTTGTGCTTTTTTATTGCAATTAGAACTACTCACGTGAAATGGAACAGCTGGCTGAAAAGTTTGTCAACGGATGCAATCCTGTGTTTCCTAGCTCCCAGCCAGAATATGCGAATGCAGGTTACATTCAACCACCATCCAGTAATCAAAAACTGGAATACCAGGATGTTTTGTGCAAAGTCGACAACAGTTCATACAACTACAGAAACAACACATGTCTTGACAATTGCTATGAGTACAAGCAGGCAAGTAAATTCTTAATTAGCTCATTGCAATCAAACTGAATTTTTAAATCAGAAAAAGAGCATGATTTAAGTTACTTGGGGTAATGGTATTGACATGCCATGGCATCATGACTGCACAGGACATACAATGGCAGAGTCTTCAATTCATATTGCTAGCGGTTCCAGTTGAGATTAAATGAGCAATTGAACCAAACTGACTAACTCGACTATGTTGTCTTTCAAAGGGTCGTATACTTGTGTTATAATTCCGTCTGCAGTTTCGGTCAAAGGTTTTGGAGACCTATTTTCTTAATTAAGACAGTCATTTACATAAGAATCAAATATTTGCTGCGTCAAATATACTTGTAAAATTAGTACACTCATGAATTTCTGCGTGGATTGATTAAACCGATAATTAGAGTGACTTTGTGTTTGATTTTAAGATGGTTTGGGCAACGTCAACACAAGTTGGATGTGCAATGCATCAATGTGAAAGTGAGAAAGAACCTTCAAAACCATATTATGTGATGGCATGTGTCTACAAACCGAGGTATGCCAAATTGAGCATGTTAAGTTTTCTCACTTTACGGACAATAAATTAATGTTTATTGAATTACAGTGATCCGTTACTAAAAGATAAACCATACGAGGAGGGACCCAGTTGCTCAGCGTGCTTGCAAGGTCAAGGATGCAAACGAAACCAATGTGATTGGAATACTCCTCCTCAATCCACGACAACCTCAGCTCAAGCAGAACACACAACGATTACAACTCAGGCTCAAATGAAGACAACTGTGTTTGAAGGAGAAACGAGACCAATTGTAGTGCAGCCAGAATTAAAGACAACTGTGCCAACTTCCGAAATGAGTACAGCTGCAACTCAACCGAAACAAGGGATAACTATGCATCAAGTCGAAATGCGTACAACTCTTCCTCAAGACGAAACGCCTACATCTCTTCCTCAATTTGAAATAGAGACAGCCGTGCCTGAAGCGGAAAAAAGGACAACAGTACACAGAGCCGAGATGCGTACAACTCTGCCTCAAGTTGAAATAGAGACAGCTGTGCCTGAACCGGAAAAAAGGACTACAGTACACAGAGCCGAGATGCGTACAACTCTGCCTCAAGTTGAAACACGTTCAACTGTGCTTCAGGCTGAAATTATGACAACGGCGCCCCAAGTCAAACGCGGAGAATCTGTGCTTCAAGCCGAAATGAAGATGCTTGATCCTCAAGCCGAAATCTCAACAACTTCTGCTTCCGCTCTCGCAGAAGTTTTCCCATTCACTCTTGTGCTTGTGCTCATTACGCAATTTATGGATTAATGTTTCTTATTTTATCATGTAATCTGTTCATGTAACTGTTTATGACCTCTTCTTCGTTGAGTTCCACTGTTTTTGGCTTTAGTTAATAAATAATTAGCATGTTTAGTTTTGTTAAGTTATTCGGTTCTTGTGTTTGTGTGACTTAAAAAAATCGCCACTGATTGGTTTCTTTTCATTCACGTTATTAGGCCGCATTTATGCACAAAAGCCTCGTGCATTTCATCTGGTGTAGATTCAATGTTCAATATTTACGATATTTTGTGAGAGTGAAGCCACCCATAAGGGCATAATTAAACTACATATATATATATATATATATCGATGGTTAATCATCGTTTTGATTAGTCTGTGTAGTTATGTCCATTTATCGTCACATCTAATTGGAAGTAATGGGCATATTTTTCTATTTTGCGTAGACATAGATGCGTGAAGACCACAAAAATAATTGCTAAATAATCATACTTGCTTGTAATTGGCCCTTGTTAGTTTAATACATCATTCCTAAATCAAAGTTTTATGTTGCTTTAGTGCAGATTCGCTTGAGTGTAAGGTTGTTTCATTGAAGAAATGCAGTAGGGTAATTACCACTTGCACACTCAGCAAACAGTTAAACAGCGAGGCATGGACTTCTAGTCTCAAATTCTGTAAGAACTGCAAACATCAGTGGAGGACGGTTATCGAATTTCAGCTTCCTTCTTCAGATTGTTTTTGTTGTGATCAACACAACGAATTTCGTGGATCCTGGAAAGTAAAGAAACAGTCAACCTTTGGCTGACTTCCCATAAAACCAGATTCTAGTCACATTCCGGATTAATCGGCACGGTGTCAGTTATTCTCTAACACAATTATCTGCCTAGTCGAGCACACTTAGTGTGACCATCGCACGCACTGACCCCCTGAGTGTCTGCACAGTTTCCACTACAATTCAATCGTAAACCTTCCTACAGCATCGTGTGGGATTAACACATTAACGATTTTACTAATTAATTAAAGTAACAGTTCCATGAACTGATGCAAAGCACTAGATGGTTTATCTGCTAAATGGGAAAAAACCGAAGTGGATTTGTTTACTGCAAACAACTTGAATCTATTCCAAAACCCATGGTGTGGGCTCTGTACATTTCAATAAGATTTCTTATTGGTGTGAAGTTAGGATGGATAGTAATTTTTTTTTCTGAAATGGATCTTTATATTTATCTCTTCTTGGGGAACGTGATGCATATTCCTGAACTCTAATTTGCCTTTTTAGATTTGATTTTACAAAGAACTTTCTAAGTGATTCTAAAAGTTACCAATGTTTGGTATTACGTAGCCAAATGCCGCAAAGCAGCATTAGGTTTTCACAAAACACACCTAATGTTTAGGAAAAATGCGCATAATTTCTCAAACATGTCGGAATATTTCACCAGTGCACTAATCAACTTAGTGTGCATTTGACGATTGCACATGTAGTTCCTTACTGGTTGCTAGGACTGACAGTGGTGTGTTATTTATTGCTTTTAACTTTATAATGCAACCAGAACCAAGGACTGTTGTAAGGGCTCAGAAACCAGAAGGCAAACATTATCCTAATTGTAAAAACTGTGTTTGATCACACTAACTGAGCGATGCCTGGAGCGTAGACTGTCGGATGGATGGCTGTTAATAGCGGCGCGCAAGGGTAACGGCAGTGTTGGAACGGAGGAGTCACGACTTAACTTCGGGTAGAAAAGCAAGCACACAGCACATGGTAGATTAACCCGAGAACCTCATTGAGAAATGAAGGCACATAATTTAACAGAAAAAATATTCAGTCGATCGACAAAAGTACAAGCAATAATCTAAAATAGTCCAGGCATTGATCGGTTGCACACGAAGTCGATTGGGTGAATGCTTTCAGTCGCCAGAGATATCCAGTTTGCTGGTGTCATAGCGATGAATCAGCTTTCCTCACACTTGCGTGTTGCGCTCACAAATTATCTAGCTTTTTTGTGACAACCTACTGCTTTTTGGCCCCACATACCTAGACGATCCACCTGAGTGCATTTGGCAATTGGATGTGCATTACGTTTGAGCAGTCGAAATACTGACAGATAATGCGAATTAAAAGCTGTGAATATGACAAGGGGAACTTACGCAGATTGCTCGCATTTTGACAATCTGCTTACTGTCGTCTAAAGCCCACCGAATTTACCTTAACACAGAATATATGGTTCAACGTGCAGCATCGTTAATGTTAAATTTTTCTGTGATGAAGATTATGGACTCAAATCGCATCCACTTACCGACTGTTTCCGTTTTTTGACAAACACAAGAGTTCGCGCGTTGTTCAAAATGCAACACAGGCCAATTGAGATTACTGTTGTTCGGACACGTGAAATTGCACAATGCACCTTAGTACTTAGATCTAGTAAGTAGCAGAGTCTAGCAAGTATTACGGGATATCGGTGAAGTGTCACTAGCAGTTGAAAGATTTCTGGCCTCCATGTGGCATTTCTTGTATTGCAGCAGGTTTTAAACCACCGTATTAGGCATGG